CCCCTCACCACCTCTCTTTTTGAGGCTGGCTCTGAACTTGTGATCCTCCTGTCTCAGCCTCCTAAGTAGCTGGGACTATAAGCTTGGGTCACCAAGCCTGGCTATATTAAAACCTTCTTAGGATTATAAATTAAATCTTATACTGCTTATTATATGAGATATGAATATTGCATTATACTTGTACCAAGAGTCACTAATTGACACAGAGTATTATTCTTAAATATTCTGTGTCAATTAGTAAGGCAAAGTTTTCTATCAACTTTTTACAATATAGTGTAGTTCCACCATGCTTGTCAATTGTGGATTTTAATTTAAGAGACATTTGTTCTGGGAAAACAGACATTGCAAAATACCAACATTCTTCGAGCTTCATTCTATGGCTCTATTTTATCAGGTCTACTTAATACCATCAATATGTACCTTTTATTATTACTCTTTTTACCCAGTTGTAGATATTTAATAGAAAAAAGTATAACTTTTTAATAATCTTGTCAATTTACTCCAATTTGTGGTTATATATTTGCATTCATGCTGCAATGATAAAAATTTTATATTCTCTTATTTTTATATTTTCGGGATATAATGAGTTTTCTATTTTACTGGGTTTTCACCCTCTGAAGAACTAGCTTTTTTTCTGGATGTATACTTTCATTTTAATTATTGTCTCATTTTAGTATATATCTTTCTATCTTCTTTAATTAAGTGTTCAGTTTACCTATTTCCAGTATTTATTTTTGTCAATATTAACATTTTAAAATGAATATCACTTTTAGTATAATTATGGATATGATTTTGTTAATATTTAAAAATCTGTTATTTCAGTTTTACTTTTATAATTGTTTTCAGCTCTTTTGAGATTTTTTTTAGTTTGAAAGTGTTTGTATAGTTTTCTATCATGGACAATGGTGTCTACATATTCTAATTTTTGGAATTTATTTAAAAGTTAATTGTCAATTGCATGATCAGTTTTCAAACATGTAATATATTTCATACATGAGAAAAAGAGATAAACTTTCTGTGTTGGATACTTATACAAATTTTAAAAACTAAATAAAATAAAATTTTAATAATCAATTTTACAAGTTTATTTTTGCTTTTATTGTTTTATTAAAGACAATTCTCTGTAAGTGTTCTACTATAATTGTGGCTAAATCAAAATACTTACAGATTTACTAGAACTTTTCCATTGAAGGTTTTCTATTATGATCATCAGTGGACAAAGGTTCCTTTTCTGTTGGTCTTTGAAAACAAATTATGGGACATCCTGTTAAATCAT